AGAACTTTTAATATGCGCATTTTCTTTATAGTTTTTTCACCATATTTATATACATCACATATGTGAGTTGCGTTTTTGTTTGCCATTTCATGGAATTCATCTCTCTTCGGCATTCACCGGATAATTAAAAATAAAATCGGGCAAGCGTAAGGAGTAAAGAGAAAAAAGAGAAAAACTATATACAGTCTGGCTTCAGGCGCTGTTCGAGGCTATAGGAATGTGCCATATAAATATATATTTATATATATATATATTAGTTACTGTCACTGCCATTTTTGTGGGCAATAAAATGCGATATGTGGCAGGTGGCATGTGTAGCAGGTGATGGGGAATTAGCGCAGCTGCCTGACCAACAGAGCTTTAAAGTCATCCATCTTAGATCCTTTAAGCCATTTAAAACTATCTTGTTAACTTTTATAATCAAGCTTTAAACCTCCTGAAATTATATAATTAATTTTAAACCTTAATTTCTTAGCTTAAAAAAATCTCAAATTAATCCTTGATCTTTAGACTTTTCATCTTTATATTTTGGGTCTTAATATTTTCTCTCAGTACAGCCATAAAGTGAGCACATTGGATGTTAACCCGGCGGCAAGTTATTGATGTGACAACTGCGGATGAGCGCCAGTTTCCATTTAACTGCACTCTCTGCCTGCGGTTTCCAGTTAGTGGCAATATACCTACTATATCCCTCACCTGTGTGGGGTCCCAGCTCCAGCTCACAGCTCATTGCAATTTAAGGTTCTTCCTCCTTAATTTCTGTAAAGCTACCTGGCAGTTCTTTTCCCACTTTTTCGTAATAGGCAGTTGCCAGGACCTCTTTTTGGTGTTGCCATGGCACCTGACTCTGCTTTGGCTTCCATAATTAAGCCTCTCGTCGTCCCTCGTAAGGGAATTTTCAAAAATACAATTCGCTCTGGACTTTGGCAAATGTCATTTGGTCCAAATTTCAATTGGGTTTAAATGACAATTAATGGGTGTGTGGGGGGATGTTGAGGGTTAATTGTCTGAGGTGCATTAATTAACTGGTGATCTTGCATTGGTAATTATTTTTCGCTTGCATATAACTGAAAACTCTGGGTAGAAGTTGTATTTAACCTTTATTATTTAAGTTATCTTAAAATAAACAAGAAAGGAAGCTAACTTCGGCACGCCGAAGTTTGTATACCCTTGCAGATTGGTTTTCATATTTATATTATAAATTATAATGCCGAAAACAGACACTGAACAGAGTTTCATTACATTTTACCTATACTTATTATGTTTACAGTTTAACAGTTACAGTTTTACATTCCCAGCTTTATATATTTTATACATTTACCGATCGCTTCTATGACAGCTATAAGATATAGTTGTCCGATTTTTATAAAATTTATACCAAATGTCTATAATAATAATTAAAGCTCATATCTCGTAGATGAAAATACGTTAAAAAACAACGAAGTTATAATTTTTTCTATTACTTTCCCTATCGTTCCTATGGCAGCTATAAGATATAGTCGTCCGATTTTCATAAAATGTATACCAAAATTTTGAAATAATACCAGAAGCTCATGTGTCAAAGTAGATTAAAATACGTTGAAAAACAACGAAGTTATAATTTTTTTCGATTAATTTCCCGATCGTTCCTATGGCAGCTATAAGATATAGTGGTCAGATTTTCATAAAATTTTTACCAAAATTCTGGAATAATAAAAAAAGGCTTCATCCCAAAAATGGTGGAATAATATTGAAAAACAGCCAAGTTATAATTTTTTTTCCAAAAATTTATCGAACATTTGTATGGCAGCTATATGATATAGTCGTCCGATCCGGCCCATTCCGACATATATAGCAGTGAGAGTATATAGAAGACTATATGCAAAGTTTCATTCAGATAGCTTTAAAACTGAGGGACTAGTTTGCGTAGAAACGGACAGACGGACAGACGGACAGACGGACATGGCTAGATCGACTCGGCTGTTGATGCTGATCAAGAATATATATACTTTATAGGGTCGGAAACGTCTCCTTCACTGCGTTGCAAACTTCTGACTGAAATTATAATACCCTGCAAGGGTATAAATATATAAAAAGGAAAATTTCCCTTTACCAACACTAAACTCTGCGGCTTCTCCACCCCAAAAATCCCTTTACAATCCACTGAGTGTTAGCATCTGTGAGTGTCTCCAAACTGTTGCCAGTAAATAAACTGGCCAAATTTGTCTAATGCTTGCCTCCCACTACTCCCCTTAACTCCAAAGCCCAGCACCCGGGGGAACTCCACCCCCATTTTCGGCTTTTCTCCCCCGCTTAGGCTCCGGCCATTGTCTTTTGCTCCCTTCTGTGCATAATTCACGAGTTCAAAACGCCACAAAAATGTACAAACAGGCACGTATTTATATATATATACAACTCCCTATCTTGGCTGAGGATTTCTTATTCAGTGGCGGGTTTACTTTCAACAGTTGTAGTCAGAATTATAGTGCTGGGCATGGGAGAGAGAGTGTTTTGGGAAGAAACTAGCTTAAGGTATCTAAAAAAGTATCTTAAGAATCTAAAAGTATCAAAAAGTATCTGTAACTATCTGTAGCTGAAAGTATTTTAAAGTATCTAAAAATCTAAAAGTATCTTAAAGTATTTTAAAGTATCTAAAAGTACCTAAAAGTATCTGTAGTTCAAATGAAGTTGATTTTCGTCATAACTTTAGTTTAATTGATTTATACATAGATACTTAATAATATCTATATATCATATATATATTTTTATAATTTAATAATTAATAATATTGTTAAAAACTATAGTTTATCTTAAAATTGAGAAATCTTAGTGCTTTTTAAAACCTGTAACTATTGTCTTTCCCAAGACAGCTGTTTTAAATGTTTCCTTTATGTGTTCCCAAACATACATATATAGTATATGTATGTATATTTATGTAAATATATATATATTTATATATTTACTATATAGGTTAGGCGCTTTGGCTCTGCGGCTTGCATGCAAATTTTTATGTTTTAATAATAAGTCACTGGCATGCAAGCGTCGCATATTTTATGCCAATTGCTAAAGGAGACTCCTTGCTCCCAGAGGCGGGGCCAGAGGGCTATAAAGGTAAAGGGCGGGATACCAGTCCTTATCCTGGTCCCACCTGGAGTCAGTTTAGTCACTCAGTTAGCTTGCCAGTTCACTTGCGGTTCGTGTCCTGAGATGGTTTGTTTATTTTTTTAAACCAGAAAAGAAAGAGCAAAAAAGAATACTTATATCTTGCAAGAATATTTATTAATTTCTTTAAAAAATTAGCCAGGAATGTCTGCCACCTGAACAGTATTTAGCAGCTACCTTCTACCCCGACAAAATTGATAATGAATTCAGGCCGAAATTTTTGCTGCGAATGTGGAGCGCACACAACGCTCGCCGATAAGAATTTTGCATTTTCCGAGTGCGTGCGGTCATGCAAAATGCAAAAATGTAAAATGCAAGTGCCTGCCTCCGCCGAATGTCGAGTGTCGAGTGCCGAATGCAGACCGCAGAAATATGACTGCCGCAATTTTGTGACCGTTCCCACGATCGCAGCCCGAATAAATATTATTGCTTTCGGTTTTGTGCTGGCCAAATTGAAAATTAAATTTTAAAGTGTGGGGGAAATTGGTGCAGGAAATTAAGTGATTTGTCGGGGAAACAGGTTTTTAATTTACTGCTGAATGTTATAAATATTTTTGGGTGATTTTTACAAGTGTTTGTATGGAAAAAATATGCTTAAATAAAATTCTTTAATAACAAAATTTTGAAAAGAAAAAATTAAAAAAAAAAATATTATTCCCGATTTATCAGAAACATAAGAGTTTAAAGCCTAATTCAGAATATTTTGCTACTATTTCAAGGGTTCTTAAAGTGTTTTTATTACTATTTTAATATGATTTCCATAATTTTAAATACTAGAAAAAATGTGAATAAATATATCTAATATATTTGTAATTTAAAAAAAAAAAGGTTAAAGCCTTAATCTGAATATTTCGTTTTTATTTCATTATTTAAATCCAATTTCCTCAACTTAAAATATACAAAATACAAAAAATTTATAAATAATTATTTCTCAATTTTTTATAATATATAAAAAATTTCAAGCCTTATTCGGAATAGTTAGTTAATATTCTTAGGGTTCTTCAATGTGTTTTTCTAATATTTCCACTAAAAAAAAAAAGATATTCAAGTTGCTGTGTAACCTTTTCATTTACTGCAAATGCTAATGAAGAAGTGTTCTGGCTTTACACCATTTCCCTGACTGAATTTCAAACGAATTGGCCGACTTTTGTGTCTCCGTTTCTGCTGATTTGCGGTTTCAGTCACTCCACCTTTATGTGTGTGTAAGTACAACTGCGTGTGCAGGGCATACTACAGTACATGGAAACTGTATATTCCTTTTCCATTTTTATTTCGCACTTAATTAAAAATATTTTGCTGACGTGCGACACGCACGTGGCCAAGACCACCTTAAACCCCAGTTGCAACCTCAATCCGGACTCGATTCCTCCTTTTCCCTGACAATGGAAAGCTGCATGAAGTGGGGGAGATTGTTGCATTTTGCTCTTACTATATGTATATGTATATTGGGTCATAAATAGCAGAAAATTAACCGATAAATTAAAACCGAAAAGAGATTGCTGACATAAATAATAAATTAAGAAGATTAAGAACACGTTTATTGTTTAAGAAGGAAGGGTGAAGGAAGGAGTTTGTATACCCTTTTTTCCTAGCAAACACATCTAGATCGACTCGGGTGTTGATGCTGATCAAGAATACATCTAGTTATGATGTATACTTTAATTAAAAAAGCTTATAAAATTGTAGTTATAGGTTTTTAGAAATTAGCAAAAGTCTCAGTAGATAAATCTTGGAAATATATTAAATTATAAAAATTATAAATTATAAATTATAAATTTTAAATATATTAAATTCCAACCCAATTATTAAAAAAAAAAAAAAAAAAAAAAACCTCGATTAGAAAAGGGTTTTCCCCTCTCCTAACACGACTTAAAGATAGTGGCATTGACTTCGTAGTGACACAGAGCCTTCTTACTGACCCCATCCTTGGGATTCAAAGAGAAGACAGTGCCCTCCAGGGTGTAGATCGTATTGGGGTGATACATAAACTTCAGTATGGCCGTTTCCGGCGGCACCTGGATCCTGTTCATCACGTATACGCCCTGTTTGAGGGGACAAGCCAGGCTCATATTGCTGGCCCCCTTCGAGAGCATCAACTTGGCCACATTATTCCAAGCAGAGACATGACGTATGTACTTCCAAAAGTCACAGGTCTTGGTGGTGGAATTGTAGAGAGTTCGTGGCAGCTCAGCTCGCGATGAAGCCACTCCAGAGTTCCTCTTTCGGGGATGCTGAAGCAGGACAAGATGCCACAGAGGTATGGCCACATCCTGACGCACCGTAGTCACCGAAGACATGGAGTTGTTTTTCTCAAAGAGATTCATCTTCAAGCCATAGGCGGGTGTGTCCCAAGATCTAAGGCCGATAAGCTTCATCATATAGCAGTGCTAGAAAGATGAGAGAATACCATATAGTAATAGTTATAGTATAGAATATAGAGGTTTAAACCTGCTGGGTTAATTGGAGGAAACCAAAGAGCGTTATAAAGCCCAGCAGATTCCTATAGAAGCCCATTCTCGCAGGTAACTAATGAGCAACTGAGCTCCGACTGTGCTCAGTCACCTGGGGGGGCTAATGATAATTCACTGATTGGGTGATTTGTCACACCTCAATTGAATCCAGCTATAGTACTTACCTTCCACCCATAATTTGGCTTTAATTGCTACTCTAATTGCAACAGCATAGTTGCTCGAATTATGTACAGGCATTAAATGTAGTTTAAAGTTTTCAGGCTATCAAAGCACTTGGGGCCAGTGTTTGTTTAGGTTTTTGGGGGAGGCAGGCAGCTGGTAAATTGTAACATCGTGTTTTTGGTTAAAGTTTACATTGTTTGCCCAGCTAATTGCATTCGCAGGTGGCCATGCCACGTGCCTGTTGCCTGTGACTTTACCCTATCGGATATTTCCACCATCTGAGTCCGCCTTCCGTTACACTTTTCATGGACTCGTTCTCGTTCTCGTTCCCATTCCTGATCCGCTTTCACTTCCGCTTCCGGTTTATTTGCATTGCAGCTGAGAGAGTGGCATCTCGGTGGGGCTTGAACAATGGATGAGAAAGCCACAGCCAACAGCTAACAGCTCCCTTGCATTGGCACTTTCCTTTGTCCCTTTGCCTCCACCTCCACCTCCACCTCCTCCTCCTTCAATTCAATTTTCATATTTACATTTTCAGTTATTTCCCAGCAAATATTTGCCTGACATCGGCTTTGCTTTCACACATTTTCCGAGCTCATTTTCACCGCACATCAACTTTGAATTCGATTTGATGGCTGACAGGGATAACTTTTGCCTTTAACTTTGGTTCCAGTTTTATTTTATTATATTTTCCAAGTTAATTAACAGTTTAAAGTTAAGCTAGAGGTAGTATTTTTGAGCCATTTCCCTTGTTCACTTTTTTTTATTAGCCTTTAAACCTTGTTGCTTCTCCTCTTTGAGTGCTCGATGGTCCAGAACATCGTTCGAGGTTACTGGAAATGGCCCACAAAGCCATTTGGAAGTGTAAAATTTATCTACTAGAATATAGCCCTTGTTTTAGCCGTCGGCTTTTTGGTTAGAGTTCTCTTCCTTCCTGGTTTTAGTTTTTTTTCTTTTTGTCTTTTGATTTGTGTCAATAGGCTTTTATGGGCTTTTAGTTGGTCGATTTGTATTTTGTTTTTATCCTCGAAGCTCCTTATCTTATTTCAAATGCGCAAAACCATTTCGAAGAGTTTCGTTGGCCAAAATGGCAACCGTAATGTGTTCAGTCATTGGGGAAAAATAACATCAGAAACAGGGGGTTTCCCTCCTTTATTTTTATCTTGTTTGGGTGGAGTTTTCTTTTGCACAAAGATAAATAATAAGTTTTAAAATTAAAATGCAGAAATGAAGTTTATATTGATTTTAACAAGACAGTAAATTGGTTTTCTGTTTTATTTTAGTATCAGGAATTTTACAGAATTTTAAATCTTAAGGTTTTTCTATGGAAAACTTTTCCCATAAATAATAAATATATATAAAAAATGTAATAAAATATATCCTTAACGCTAAAGAAACTATAAAAAATATTTAAAAGAATATAAATCAAATTATAAATAAATAATAAAATAATAAGTAAATTAAAATATAATAAAAAATATCTTTAGCGTTTAGGATATTTTTTATTATATTAGAAACTATAAAAAATGTTGATAAAAACATGTATCAAATTATAAATAAAAAATAAAATAATAAGAAAAAACTAAAAACAAATAATCTAATAAATATAAAAAATATAATAATAAAATAAATTATATAAATACATTAAAATATATTTTATACTCCAAAGAAACTAAATTTTCTTTTGATAAACATTTAAATAAAATTCTTAATATTTATATAATCCATATAATCGTTTTAAACCATTTTCTCTCTGTGCCCAAGTCTCGTTTTCTCGTCTTCTTTTTCTTTTATCGTTGCATTGCATTGGAGGAGGATGGGGGCGGAGTGGGTCCTTGAACGTTTTATGATTGCACTTTTCAGCAATAAAATAACGAGTGGGCGGACTGCGAATCGTGGATGCAGTGCATCTCCCCCCCTGCTAGCTCCACATCGCTAGGAGACTTCACACCAAAATGCTCAGCCTGGCTGAAACTTTAATAACCTCAGACGAGGCCCCCCGACACTTGCAATAAAAATGGCTGCTTGTCGTAAAAAACAACATGCACATGTACACATATATAGGGTACACTCGTAAAAAAAACACACACACACAACAAAAATACAGAATCACTAAAAAATAGAGAAGGAGGAGAAGAGGGGAATGGAAAGGATGGCCCCCCTAGAGACACCAACAACGTCCTGACCAAAAGCTGTCAACGCCTCGCCATTGCAGCTCATAAACATGAGTCGTCGTCGTCCTCGTCCTCGTCCTAGTCCTGCCGGCATCCTGCCATACCATTTTCCTCGCCTCGTGGTTAGCTGTCAGTTGTAGTTTCGGACTATCCCATCACATTTAGTCCTGCTGCTTTGGCACTTTATTGCCTGTCCTGCATAATTGTTGGGCTTATTATTGGATTTTGAATAACATCGCCCCGACAGGCATCGACAGCCATCAGTATCAGCAACTAGGATGCCTCTGCTGTGTCCATGTTGTGTCCCTAAATGTATTCTAATCCATTTGGAAACCAGGACTCTCGGGAGCTTTATAGATTATAGTGTGCTTGAGAATGTAAACAAATAGTTTGGAGGGCTTATAAAAATATTTAAAGTCTTTGAAAAAATATTTATTTCAAGGGAAAGGGTTAATTTTAAGGATTTTTTAATAATTTTAGTATAATAAATAGTTTAGAGAGCTTTAAAAAATATTTAAAGTTTTTTTTCAATGAGAAGCCTTCATCTTACGGATTTTATTCCAAGGACCTCTTCAGAACCCTTTTTTTTTTGCTTACCCATATTACGAGAAATATTTAAAAAGTACGTGTGAAGATGTCATAGAGGGAGGTACTAGGGTATCTAGCATTATCAGGGGATTTCCCTAACTAATCCCTGGTAATAATTATTCGCTTGCATTGGCGTAGGCCAGCAACTGCGGCTAAAATTCCCTTGACCGCGGCAAAGACAAAACACAACTCATCAATCTCTGACAGGAGAAGGTGGCCCCAGGATCCAGGACCTAGTATGTGTATGCAAAAAACGCCCAAACCGAAACTCCTGAGTGGAGTGTACTCGTAAATTTCATTTAATCACCACGGACTCTCCGGATGGACTTTGATGTAGTGCGCAAAAAAACACACAAAATATTCAAGTCCAAAGGACTGTCATGCACGTGGCCATTAAATTACCAAGTCCTTTGTTGGTTTCTTTCTTTTTTTTTAGGATTAGTACAGGGTATATTACAGAGCATGATCTATCAGGATCTAACTTGAAGCTCTAAAATGAAAAAAACCGCTTTAAAACCTAAAATACTAGTTTTTATTAATTTTATTTTTAAAGAAAATAACCATAAAAGGTTTATTCAAGCTAGAGGGTATATTTTAGTCGGCTTAATGAGTTTTCTGTCCTTTTTTTGAGTGACATTACTCGTTGTTTTGGGACAAATTGGAGCTGCAACAGAGGCACATTGGAGTAAATTTTGCAATAATTAAAAAATTTCTTGAAATTAAATGTTTAAAATTTAAAAAATATATAAAATTAACAATTAAGCTGGCTTGTTATGTTGAGATTTAAATTAGCTTTGTTAGGAATGTGGAAATGAAACGGAAGCGGAAGGACCAAACCTAACCTAACGAAACGAAACGAAACGGAATGGCACATAAGGAAGGCTTATGGTCAGCTGGCATAGCTCTACGAATATGTCCAATTCCTGATATGAGGTGACTGGGGAAAACACACATGCACACACACTCACACACACACACACACATAGCACTAGCCGGAAAGTGCAAATTTATGTTGGAATTAATTGCAATGGGGCAGCAGGACGAAACGGTAGCGGAAACGATGCCACCGACAGGACAGCCCAGGGACCAAACGGGTCCGACCGTGACTTTAATTAGCCGTAGAACAAGTGCTTCAGCCCAGCAGCTTTAACGGAATCAGTTGGCCATGGCCAGCAGGTGTGTGTGAAGCCAAATTTATGGCTTTAGCCAGATTTCAAAAACCAAAAAAACCAGATAATTCCTTTAGTTAAATAAACCATAAAATAGTAGAAAGTATTCAATTAATTAAATCTAGTTTAATTATTAAATTATTAAATATTAAATTCCCTTTTTTTTTTAAATATTATTTTATATTATTTATTAGAGTCTTTAAAGCAAGAAGATTTCTTTAGTTAAATAAACCAAAAATAGTAGAAAGTATTTAATTAATTAAAATTATTTTATAAAATTTAAGATTATGTTTTTTTATGTATAATTTTACCTAAAACAATTCTTAACTATTTATTTGACAACTTAATGCTACAAAAATAAACTTAAATTTACTAAAAATGAATTATGTTTTAAACTGGCAAAATATTTCTCCTAAAACCCATTAAAAAACTGTCAAAAAAATAATTTATACGAGTCAAAATAATGTCCTTTGAGAGTTAATCTTTTGATTTTACATGATATTAAATGCAGGTCAAGTGGAAAATAAATGATGTCAATTTATTTATCAAAATTCCTGTGAAAAACATATACAAAACTCCGACAAATATATGTTTCACAGCATTTATTATTTATTCATTAAAAAACCTGTCAAAAAATAGAATAATTTATATATAAAAAAAAAAAAATTATATTTTTTATAAAAAAAATAAGTAAAAGAATTAAATTAAAAAATAATAATACATATTTTACAAATCATAATAACAAATTTCTAAAGACAGTCAAGAGTTGGAAATTATGCGGAAAATTATATAAATTTATGTATCACATTTACTTAAATTATTTTGTAAGAAAAAATGATTAAAAATTAATGCATTGTTATAGCTTAACACGCTCTGAATTTCGCACATAATGAGAAATAACCGCCGATCAACAATTGATTTCGCTTTCAAAAAAGTGGCTTTCAGACTCA